CTATTCGGCCATTGGTAAACTCGTGATTGTGGCATTGAGAAAGGGGGTGTCAGAACCGGGATTACAGTCCTCTTTTAGCCTCTTAGACTTTGCTACTTTGAAGCGGCCATTCATTTGTTATTCACTTCTACAACGGCAAAACTTTCTCACCGTATTTGTTTATTCAGGAAGCGCCCTGGAAACGTTAGCAGGCTTACTCCTCAAACACTAATTGATTTGTCGCCGAAAATTGTCAAAGAAATTACTAACAGATGCTATGTTCGCCGAATAAACTGTGTATGATATAATTACAACCTTTCACTCTGATTAAGCTCTTTGGCAGCTTTAGACGTGAAAATTGTGAGTGAGTGTCATCTAGCTGTGTTGCTCTTATCTGCACGTATTCTATACAAACGCATCCCCTGTGTCCTCCAGATATTATTAGGATGATGAAAGTTCCGTAGTAAATGAAGTAGCCTTGAAGAAAACGGAACCTGAATGTCAGCTAAAAATGTGAGTTACTGTTTCTGTTATTGGTTTCAAACTGCTACTGCTACTCAGAATTCTGTCCACATCTTCAAATCACTCAAACGAAACCCATTTGCTTGTCCTGAAATATGTATCTTTTATTACATCACTAACCTGGTTGTATTTATGCATCTTTTCTAATGTGTCTGAGTGAATTCGAAATCTTTGGAAATAGTTTACGGTAACTAACCAAATTTGATAGGAAAACATTTGAAAAAATAAAAATTATCCCCCGAATATGTTTTTTAAATCTCGTAATGACCAAACCATAATAAATCAAATAAGTTGAAAATTTGCCATGATATTGAACTAGGGTATCCTTAGTTAAGCATTCAGTCTTTAAAGGGTATGTTTATCATTTTTAATTAATTATTGATATTTAACAAAAGAAATACCACTCATGCGCTATGCCCCGCGAGACCTATTAGCACCATAACTTACTTGTTTTTAAGCTGCATATAATGTATGGTCTTTGATTAGAACGTAAGATGAGGAAGAGATGTGTCAGCCCCATTATATATTTTAAGGTTTGCTTCTAAAATTTTTCTTTCTGAAAGTTTATTTGGGCTCTTAGTCCAAACTTAATTTAAGCTTTATAAGTCCAAGCTTAATTTAGTGAATCCATTAAGAATGGTAATATGCTGCAATTTTTTGCACAGCATTTTTACACGGAATTTCTTAACAAAACGTTTCTTAATAATTTTACAGTTTACGCGCAGAATTAGTAAGAAACTCTCTTGTTATTACTGAAAGAATAATTCAAGATAATTTTATTTCCAGTATTCGTAAAAAGCAGGGCAATGCCAGAAGCTTTAGAGTAGTCATATCCAGGAGAACTATAATGTAGAATCTAAGAGTGACAATAGTTACATTTTTAAGAAATAGGTATTGACTATTAGCATATAGTCGCCGTTTATTTAAACCGTAATTTAAATTAATTCGCTCTTGAAAATAATATTAAAACTATTCCAAACGAGTATTCCACTATTCTTCTAATCACGGTATTCGTGCTTTTCCTTGACTGAGAGATATTGATTTAATTTTACATTTCTTAAGCATAAGTTTTCTTGTAAGTGTAAGTATATTAAAAAAAAAGAAAAAACTTGGATACTGGCTAAGCTATGATAATGTTGATATTATTGTTTAACGTCTGGACCACTGTAAAATGTTCGAAATTAAAAATTTATTTTCATTTTCTGGAAATTATATTCTTTTAAACATGGCGAACGGTATATAAGCAGCTAAAATAAGGTTATATTTTACTTACCTTACCAATAACAATATTTGCGGTAATTTATTTACGCATTTTTAGATGCTATTGATTTTCAGTTATTTTTACGTAGTGTTTGCCTCGAACTCTCAAGCGAGTAGCCTAGAATCAAGTGCAGTACACACCATTTCAGCTAAAAGGCTGTATCTGATTGTACGTGACATATAAAGTTATAAAATTAATAGGTAAAATCATGCTGCTAAATTCTATGTTTCAGGTGGGAAGATAACTTAAAAGTAAAGATCCACAGAAACGCTTTTTTCCTATTGAGAAGTCTGAAACATTTAACCAATTGCGGCTAGTTCCTCTTTCACTCTGAGAATCGTGTAACTTGATCTTTTATACTACTGATCTTTAATATATTTGATTAAATAATGTGATCGGTTAATCTTGTCACAATACCTTTTGATTATACTACTTGTAGAATTTAATGTGTTTATCAATCATCAAAAGTATCTAAACTCTTGGTGTCACCCCAACAAGGGTAGTGGTTGGCGACTCTGACTGCCGTACTGAAAAGCGCGGATTCGAATCTCGCAGAAGGTATGGATGTTTGTAATGTATAGTGTCTGTGCGGCACTCTAAATATGCGGAGAGCCAAAAGTCCTTTCGAGAGGCTGGTGGTAGGGAAAGCGAGGTAGGAGACCCTCTGACTCGTCTCCCCAGGGTGCTCTCGTTCAAAACTGGGGGCGGAACGGAGCAAAGTCGTACTGTCACCTGCATGGTGCTCAAAGCTCTTGCCAACGACAGGCACATTCTTGCAATCCTTCCCACAATGAATTTCGTGGACTTGTTCTGATGCTACAATCGGACAAGTGAGAGAAGTCACAACAATACAATACAAACTCTTGGCAGATGTTAAGCGACTTATTGCTAAGTTTAAACACTTAAGCAACAAACACTTGAGAAGGGTGTAAAAGACCCTTATTAAAACTAAATAAGAACAGAAGGCACACTTTTGCTTACAACTCAACCAACCACTTGTGGCAAGATAGCTTAAAGTAACAATAAGTCAAATGTAAAATTTAAGTTCAAATAAACTAGTAGCTGAAGGCTTCACAATCAATTAAACGCGAAGTTGGCTCAGAAGTTTAATGGGCGCGGAATTCAACTATCGTTAATTATAACGCAAGTCCGAAGGCAATAACTAACACTCGAACTAAATTTGCATAGTGGAGGAAGAAGGACACTACAGATCCAAAACATAAAACAATTAATTAAAATAAAGGAACGTGCCATACTAGTTCGAAAGCTTGTCCGACAGAAATGCCATTCTTGTTGTACCTTTTTATCATTGTGGCGGTCGAGCTTTCTCTTTTCTTATAGTTTGTTTCATATGGATGCAGCTGTAGTATTGGAAAATAACATTATACGTGAAAGATTCCTTCCATTCTTACTCTTGCGATCTTCCTCGGGTCTTTTACTGTACTGACTGAGATCTGTGCTTCTGCTTTCTCGGTTCTGGAGTTATACTATACATGAATTGAATTCCTACTTTCCATGCTCCAGGCAGGTTGCGTGGAGAGAGAGAGAGCTTCATTAAACTCGCATATATTCCACATTCTGCGACGTATGTGGAGAAGGCCTCCTTTCTAGAGGCGACGGACTTAGGGACTCATCTGGGGCATCCCACATCCTCTGCCTTATCAGGGGATATCCCCGACAGCTTTTTATTAGACGGAGCGGGAAGGGATAATATGGTCTAGCCTTACCATACCCCATAACTGATAATTACTTTGCATGATGAAAATCTGTCAAGACATCGGACAAAGTTATGCCGATATAAATTCATGATATCGTTTAATTCATGATATTATATATTATGGTTCATATAAAGTCACGATGGACATAAAAATTTCTATATCAGTCATTTACTCTTGTTGTATTCACCCTTTCGAAACAAAATTTTAATACTTTCATGGCGTTTTCTTAAATAAGCTTGGAGCTAATAGGAATATGACATTCTTGTTGTATCTCAGCTCATAAAATGTTTTTCTGTTTCTGCGATATCCCCCTCCAATCTGATTATATTTTTTACAGATTCTTTCAGATGTTCTCTAAAACAACACTGTACTTTTAGCAGCTCTTGAAACACTTTCTTTATTCATTCCTAAGACAACTACATCATCGACTGACTGACTACATCAATTGTTTTAAAACCCTTGACTAATTTTCCATTGATATGGTGAACTGATATACATTGATACAGCCAGTCAGCAGTATCAAGAATATGTAACAGGAAAAGTCTTCGTCAAACAAAGCAAGTGACTAACATCCACGACTTGCAAATATTTGGGGATTATACGCCTGTATTAACATTCGTTATTATAGCAAATAAAGTTATCTATGGATAATTCAAGGAAAGCTCCAATGCGCTTTTGATTATACATAGTGGAGATTTCTCAAAAAATGTTTTTTCTTTACTACTTGATAAAGTTCGTATTTATTAGAGTTCATACCCAGAAGCAGAGAAATACCTACGTAGGATTTATTTCTGCAACGGAAATTTCATGGTCCACCTAGATTATATTTTAAATGCCATCATGCCACGAAAACACTACATACGAATATTTATACCTTCCCAGCGCTTTAAACTAGGGTCCAATATTATGGCATTCAGCATTGCTAACCATTATAGCGAACAAAACGGCACTAGCTGGACGTACTAACTACTTAGCCTACGAGGGCATGCAAGGAGAAATACGATATTCCCTTATATTCTCCTATACTCGATGGACAACTAAAGAGAAAGTTGGAGATGACTCTGCCAAATCCAGGTGGTGACGAATTATCACCTCTTCCATACGCAGACATACTTTATTTCGGATGTCACTGTACAAACTATTGGGATTTGGCAGAAATAAAAGTGAAAAATCAACTGTTCCCTCGCCGGAAATCTAGTCTCGGGTTTTTAAATGACTAGCTGGACGTACTTACCACTTACACTCCTGATCATACAGTTAGGCCTTAAAATTGAAAAAGTCGAGAAAGGCGGTCGTCAAAAGGCGTGAGAAGTCCATATCAGAGATTGAGTTTTTTTACGGTGAGAAGTAAAGATTAATATTGTTAATGAAGTGGGACATGTTTAAGAGTATTAAATTTCTTGAAAGTTCAGCGTATTATTTTTTCTCCAGTTTAGGAAATTAGTAATAAATATTATACATACATTTATAATTATATTTGAAAACTATCCACTTTTTTTAATTCACACATTTATTTTCAGGAACTATTTGAATTTTGTGATCGAAGAGCTGAAAAATCCACATCAGTAAGAATAAAATCAAATTTTTAATAAAATGTAAAGTTTTTGTATTGTGAAAGTTCTGCGTGTTCTTGTTGTTCACCGATTTACTAATTCCTAATTTCAGGAATCTACCCAAAGCTATATTCATCTCCTGTATATTGGTAACTGTTGTTTATACTATGACAGTGGTAGCTTTTCATACTACGTTATCCGTTGCCGAAGTTTTGGGCGCCGAAGCTGTCGCTGTGGTAAGTGAAGCTTTCTGTTACAAATACTTAATGAAAAGTATAAGGATATAGAGTGAACACTATTATGCAATTTTATAGAAGTTTCATTCGAATTTTAATAGCACTTTTTTCAGTTTATTTGCTTTGTCATAAAATGCATAAATTAAATAAAACTGAACGAAAAATAGGGCTTAATTTTAATCTGGAAATACACTTGCAAAACATATAACGTAATTTTGTAGAGAGATTTGTAAGAAGCCAAGTCATATCAATGCAAAGTATCATTTCTATTCATAGAACTAAAAAACAAAATTGTATTAATAAAAGATTGATTATTAACTTTGCCGTATGGTATGTTTTATAACATTTAGTCTCTTGAAAGGGCTCAAAATATTAGTCTTATTTCATACTTGATACATACTAATTAATAATTTAAAAAATGAATTCTTAACATTAGAGATTGTTGAGAATACTTTTTTTAAATTCTTTTAACCTTTGTGCAAAACAAAAATCGTAGTTTGGAAGCGTTTTCAAGTTTTATTTGCTCAGTCTTATAAGAAATAAAAGGAACTGCTAATTGTACACGAATCTTTAATTGCTATCAGTAGAAAAAGTTCTTTTTCAGTACTTCTGTTAAGATCAATTTTCTCTCAAACATCATTACCGCTGACTGATGTTCATAAAGAAATTTATGAAAATTTAAAGTTCTCATTTATTAGCAACTGAAAAACAACCAAATATGATTTTTCTTTAATAATATACTTTTGGTTTGGCTCGCGAGAGCAGGACGGTTCCTTGCATATTGTCCTCTTTAAATACAGGCTTGATTTACAGGCATGAGGATGTTTCTTAGCAGATGTATTTAGTTGACGCAGATGGAGAGGATTAGATGTACTTCGAACTAATGATGTCAAAATACTTTCCCTACTCTTTTCACTTTGATTATCTACTTGACAGAACATGAAACAGCTTCGCATGTAGCTTTAAGAAATGTAAACCTCGATTTACAGTGTCGCAGAGGATTTTAGGAAAATACAGCTTGTAAGAGACAGGCAATAAGATTTTTATTGTGGAAACTAGGAATTTCTGAAGTGAAGAAAAATTATTTGATCCTATCAATGGCAGAGTGGAAACCAAGCTTCGAGTTAGAACCGCATTCAAATCCCGCTGAACGTCTCGGCATGGATGTTTCTATAGTCTCTCATCATGTATGGCAAGTATCAAAAAGATTAAGTGTCAAGGAAGACTACGTACGTAATCGTAATTAAGTTAGAAACTATATCATGCTTGGTACGTGTCAACTAACGAATGCGGAATATGTATCAAGAAAGAGTGTATACTTCAGGAATTATGAATGTCTCGCATGACATAATTTGAAAGTTCAATAATCGCTGAAAGCTGAGATGAAAAGTGGGGATGCCGGTGACCTGCTGGCGGTGGCAGAGTTGGCCGAGGATGCTGTGAGACAAAATGGGGTGCAGCTTATCTGTACTATAACTAGTGCACGGGGCCTATACCTATTCATTTAGGATAAATTCGAGGTGGCCTCTCCATTCATACATGTCACGTCATGTATAACGTAAATAATTCCTTAAAATGTCCCGGAAGGCATCCCTTCCGTTATGCAGATAGCTTTCGTGTATTTTCCTATATTCATTTAAACAAACAGAACTATTTTGGACCACCTTCCTTTGAATTCTGTGAAAAGCGGGGTTGTGTCTTGTATGCCGAGCTTTAAAATCCATAATTATTCCTTTTGTTTATTTCTGTATGTACAATGCTCATTAGAAGTTTAGTGGCATTAGCAGCTAATTGCTTAGCTTTACTGAGAACGTTCTTGTTTCCTAGCGAATTACCAACTTCAGAGCAAAGCCTCTTTCCAGCGTAGGCTTCACATAATATGGCTTGAGGACCAAGATTTGAAGTGTCGAAGCCTTATAATTCTGTTTATCCTTCATAAGATCTGAGTTGTGGAGAGGGAATTGAAAGAATACTTTGACCAGTTGCCTTAATCGCGCCTTGCTAAGGGGGCCAGCTTCATCTTAAATTGCTATAAAATTTAGCTATGCCTGTCTGAATATGGAGTGAGGTAATTTCTTTCCGAGTTCGGTTTTTGAGCATTAAATGTATTCCCCACATGAGACTTTTCATGTTTTATAGTTGTTAATATATAAGAGCCAAGGCGATGGTGGCCCACCTATTAGGTGCCTCCATAATAAAGAGACCACCACATCCATCCCACCTCTTCGTAGCTTCACCATTATTATACTTCCCTGCATGTCTGAAAGACGCTATAATGAGTAAAAAGAAAATAGTAAATATTATACAAGTAGGCTGAACAAAATCTTCAATTCTGAAATCATGAAAGGTACTTCTGCGATTCTCTTCTAAAATTTGTTATCTCTGAATTTCGTATAATGATAGTAGTGAATTTATTTTTAACTCCCTATCATCTTTTTGCACATGTACACAAATTTTTTTTAAAGTAAATTTCGCTTTCATGATAAGATTTTTTGTTTTCACCATTTAAATATTAAAAAAAACATACATTAATATTTTACTGACGGGCTTTGCTTTTCATTAGACTTTTGCTGATCGCTTATACGGTATGATGGCATGGATCGTTCCTGTGTTTGTGGCTATGTCAACTTTCGGCGGAGTGAATGGAATTTTATTTACATCATCAAGGTATGCTTATTTTAATAATGTATCTTAATAATTTTGCATTAAATTAGAACTTCATTTTAAATCGAAACAAGTAAACAGCAATAACATTTTGAATTGCTCAAAATGTTGAACTATCTTCTTTGCTTTTTTCAAGTCATACATATACGTACGCGATTGAAATCTGTCACCTTCAAATTTGAAATTATCTTCCTTTATTTTGTAACTTAAAAACATCTGTATTATAAGTCAGAAGCGCCTTTATTTTGTAACTTAAAAACATCTGTATTATAAGTCATAAGCTTTTTTTAGTTATTCTATAGTCATAACTGCCAGTAAGGGCCAACTCATTTGAAAGGAAAATTAACAATATTTTTAAAAATGGTAATGCTTTCAAATTTGACTTGTATCATATAATTTATTTAGTGTCAAATGTTCAGGATTATTATTCATTGCGTAGCATTTTTAATTTCAGCTGCGCATATGAAGCATTTTGATTGCGAAATTTATTTAAATTGCAAGAATGAAAACATATAGAACCGGTTTAATTGTAAAACTTTTAAGGAGAACTAAGAAATTTGGCTATCGTGAAATTACATTATCAGTGCTTTACTGAGTTTTCAAAGGTCTACATGACAGGACAGAAAGAGGAATTAAAACGTAGTAAAATCTGGCTTCGAATTGGAATCGAACACATAACCCATTCGTTCTCGGACAAGTAAGTTACTCAACCTTTAGCCAGCTTCTAATGATTTCTGCAGCATTTAATTATTTCTGTTTGAATTCGGAATGTGTTTCGACCATTTCACAATTCGTCCTCTGTCAGCTAGTTCGAAATTTCACCAGTTTGCTATTTCGGCTCGTCATTTGTGAAAATGTAATGGAACACAACGCTAGTTTTGAAATAATACAGAGTATTGGAATGAAGTGTTAGTTTTGAAATAATACACAATAACAGAACACAACATTAATTCTAAAATAATACAGATTAGAAGTTATAGCTTTACTGCACAAAATAGTTTATTTCGTGAGAAGAAAGGATTTAAAAATGATGATTTGTACAGTTTGTACAGAACTTTATTCAAATTCTCTACATTATTCGCTCCAGTACACGGTTTATAGGATAATGCTGCTTTCATGAGTTATCCTTTTAATGACGATATCTACGTCATATTTAAAATAATTTTGGAACAATTAAGACTGGAAAGTAGTTAGTAACTCTGATCGCGTACCTAAGGGCCTGGATTCGAATCCCGGAGAAAGCATGGATGGAACTTGTCCATCCCTTCATAGGAGGCAACGATGGCCCACGCTCGCCATTGCGGGGGGGGGGGGAAGGATTTGTAATGAGATGTACTTCTTTTCCATCAGAAAGTCGATCATCAAAAGTATCAAAACCTTTTGGAATCTTAGTTAAGCCGTAAAATCTTCAATCCAGTAACTGCTTAATCTTCTGGGTTTGCTTAAATTGCATATCCATTGCAACAACAATAAAACATAAAAGCATGTAAGATTTTCACAATGCTCTCAAAAGTCTTTTGAAGTAAACTATGTTTCAGAACGCTGAAGCTCTTGAATGAGTGATGTGGGCGAAAGCATCTGACTTTTGATCTCTGAGATATTCAGATTTTCCTACACAGCTACTCTATTTGCTAACAGCAAAACATGTAATCGGTTTGTCAAATAAACTTCTCTGTAACTCTCAACTCTACTTAGATGATTCGTACAGAAATGGGATCGGCAGTGGGTGAAATTGTTGTATGGAATGGGCAACGCAAAGTAAATTATAGTTTTTATAAAATGTACGGAGGAAAAACTGTTTATAAATTATTAATATTTTAATTAATTTTCAGGTTATTTTATGCTGGAGCAGAACAAGGTCAGATGCCGAGAATTCTGTCCATGATCCAAGTCAGCCACTTAACACCAGCTCCTGCTGTTATATGCATGGTGAGGGTTACACGTTTATTTATTTAGAATGTTAACAACTTAAATATACGGTTTATATTTGAGTATTTGAAATTATTCAATTTTAATGTCATATAGAATTAATCGAAATGGATATAATTATAATTTTAATCTCAGTTTGTGGATGCAAATTAGAATCTGTAATATGTAAATTTCATTTTTATGCTAAATACCAAAGCCTTTGCCAGATGAATTTTATCATGAAAAATGGAATTCATCTAAATATCTTCTTATTGAATCATTTCTTGAGGAAAGATTGGAAAATACTGAAAACTATGTTCATAAAAACTTCGATTTAAATATAAAGACCGGATAGTTTAGAATAGAACGGTTTTCTCACATTGTTCTTTCATTTTAAGCTGTAATTTTTTTCATATTTAAGTAGAATATTATAATTTAATAAAGAAGATGTGTACATTATGAATAAGATATGCAATAAAGAAAATGATGTAAGAATGAAGATTTGTATATTATGTGTATATTACTGCCAGTGCGTTACTATGCATTGTCAAATGCAAGCAGACCCTGAGGAATGATGACTAGGATAACAACTGCATATTGTCATTTGGCAGAAGCCTTTCGGACTAGTTACAGTACTACGCTTCTGCCCAACGTCATCCCACGTGTATGGCGAGACACCCAAAAGAGACCGTATCTGAGGGTTCAACCTCTCTAGAAGACTCTTGGACGGATGAATTTTGCATGCTTTTATTTCGCTTAGGCACAATACACATAAGCGTCAGAATTACACTCAGTATTCTAAAGTGATTCTATCCGAATTATTTAGTAAGGCAGATAACCCTCGAGTGCTTTGCCGTAATCTAATAAAACCAAATCAAAACCAAACCGAATTATTTAGTTTGCCCGGCAACGTTTTCTTGGCACCATGAATGCTCGACTTTTCAATTTCCCGATAGTGTGATCGCTTCAAGCCTCGTTTCATTGATACTAAGATGAATTTACGATTATTGATGATTTGTTCGTATCTGTAAGTAAGGGCTACAAATAAAATAAATTACTTGCTTGTACCTGCACTGGTTTGAGTTCCCTTACAGAAACAATAAGGTTCAGAAGTTACAAAAATTTGACTTCTGGCATTCAATTTTATTTTACTTTAATTTTAATGACCATTTACAAAATTATTGTATTAGTTCGTGTCTATTGATAAGTCTTTACTTCAGTTTCATGCATACTGTTTTTAGCATTTGTTTTCAGTGCGTATTAGTATATAAATGCAAATTGGTACATGAGAAATGTTTTCAATAAAAATACTTGAGAAATTAGAAAGTGAAATAATTCTTTTAATAAAACAACAAAGTAGGCGTAATATTAAAAATATTACAAATTCTGCCGCGAAGCAGTAACCTATCCGGATATATAAACAGGAGTCGTTGAGCAATCGCGAAGTCGGACATTAGTGATGAACAGCAGTCGTAATGTTCTCTAGTAAACAAGCTGTCGGGCAGGTGAGTGGCAGGCAACCAAACCACATCCATCCATTCGTCATGAGAAACCCCATGCTGAATCTAACTCTGTTTCTTTTTTATTTTATCTTAAAGCTAAATAATAATGTCTCAAATATCTTAAACTAAATAGGAATCTAAAACAACACGTTCATTATTGATTAATGTATATATTTCTTCTTTCATTTCTTCCCTTACATCTTTTCTTGCATATATGTAAGGTAATATATGCAAGAAATATGTAACCTAATATGCTCTTAACTTACTGTTCGTTTAACCTTACAGTGTTACAAATGGCTTATCGTCCTCAATGTCTAATCTAAAGTTTAGAACGCTAATAAACACAAACAAGAGTAAAATGAAACTAAAAGTTTATTCACTACGAATATTTGGTGAAATTAAAAGTTTAACAAACTCAGCCACCTCTCCTTATGTAGTCGTGGAATGCAATAAAGCAACGGTTATCAACCTTTTGACTAAAGCGTACCACCTAACAAAAACTGAAACTTTAGTTCCACCACCTTATTTTTCAATGATTATTTTTCAGTTTCTGAAAAGAAATATAAAAAAAAGATATTTTGCCATTTGCGCAACCTACTGGTTATTAGCATTAAATATGCAGACATAAAAAATATTACATTAAAAATTGGTTACCATTTTAATTATCAAAATATAAGTTATAATACTTTAATTCTAAAATTTGCTGTGAAATCTGGGCCTTGTTTAAGAGAAATCAGTTTGTTCATGTCCAGTCTTATTTCACTTAGTTTTAACCGTAAACTAGGATCCACTTTTTATTTTTGTTCTGTATTTATTTTCGAAATATAACATGGAAGAAAATCCTTGTTTAGAGAAATAGGTTGTGAAAAAAAGGCAATAAAATTTTAATAGCTTTATTTGAAATGCCTTTAAATTCTTTTTTTCGGTTCAGCCAGAAGTTAACAAGTGTGTTATTTTTGAAATCTTTTGATGACAGGAAATTTCTATCAATTGTTCTTTTTTTTCACGAGATTTTTCAATGTAGTTAAAAATACTTTGTTTCTTTGCGTACCACCTATTTTCCTCTAACGTACCATCGGTTGATAATCGCTGCAATAAAGTTTAAATAGAAGCAACAAAAATAAATAGATTTAATACCTATGTCAACTTGGGTCCTAATTATGCATAAACACTATAAACTGGCAGAAATCACTCCTCGAAAACCAGCACAGCTAACAGTAAAGCGGTTCAGGAACAACTTGTTACATATCTTGCCAAACTTTTTCTCAATTTACATCTTCTGTCGCTAATCGCTTTCTAGTTTACATCTTCTGTCTGTAATTCCTACGCAGTTCGCATTTCTAGTGAGGTTGACAGAAGAAACAGAAGATCGAGACAGAATTAACTTAAAAAGTGTTGGTTAAAATAAAACTCACTTATGTAATTTTTTCTATTTTCGAATCCTCCACAGAGGCATCCAGCTCCTGACGCAGATAGCATTTGCGTGCTTTGACACAATACATTAAATAGATAAATATTGGGTAATGTCGCAACTGGCGATCTACTGAATTTCGTATATTAGTTTTTGTAAATTTAATAATAATTTAATAAAATATATAAATACGTAATAATAATAATAATATTATAATAAATTTTATTTCCTTTCAATTTTTAGAAAACAAAAGGGCCACTTTTATCAGTTTTTCAAACATATGCATCAAGAACGTCGCGCAGCATAACCAGAAAAGTGTCGTCGCTTTTATTAAGAGATCGCACCCATGCTTCAGAAAGATAACGTGGGAGCATTTCTGACGTCGCAACTTGCATGTTGTGTAACCCAATTATAAGTTTACTGTGATTTTCTCAGTAACAGTAGTCTAAATATGAAATCAGATAATGTTTAAGTATGCACATAACTGTCATGATTATACCTAAGTATCTCATGTAACTTATACAAGACAATGTTTGTAATTAACATATCTATGCTTATACACAGGCCTTGTATGCCCATGTTATATTTATATATGGAAGAAATAATCACTTCTGCCATGATGACTATTAACACTGTAAGACCTTATACAACAAAGTCAGGTCAGTGGTTATCCCAGGCGGCACTCAGTCCTATTATCGTAACTTAATATAGTCAATCCGTATAAGCAGGCCATTCATCATTCATAATGATTGATCCTGCTATAACTTCACCATGGATTTGGATGTAATGTTGCGGAATCGCTTCGTTCCACGATGAAGAAGCTCTTTTCGAGTTTGTTGGTTCGACATATTAAACCAAGTACCCACGGTTCTTCTAATAGTTTGCCGTAGTTTTCTTTGGTTGATGAAGTTTCCTGTGTCGGAATCGTTTGATGACAATTCTTCGCCTCGTTCATTACTGAGAAGCATGTGACCTTTGTGTATTCTCTCTCATCGTAGAAGCGACTCGTCGATTTCAACCACGTGCCCAGGGACGCGAAAGGGTTGTCGCTTTTGAAATATTTCTACGCAGACATCCCAACAAAGACTGAATCAGCCGCACACAATATTCTTTGTTTTGCCTGAAAATATTTGAGTGGTCACTTGGGAAGTGTCGTAACTCCAATAATATACAAACTCCCATAAATATCTAATAAAGACACTTCGCTGTTGCAACGACTATTCACATCCTCAAAGGTAAAAAAGGCGTTTGGTTTTTTGATTGACTGATACGTTTGCATCCTTTTGGAGGGAATATCTCAGGCTTTGTATTCTTCCCTTTCTTATCTTTTTCTGTGATTTCACGAGTTTCCCCACAAAACTTTAGACAAGCAGGAAAACTATTCTGCTATGGGAGTTATTGATTCTGACACAGAAATTGAATCGTTTTCATCAATGGCTATCGCTCGGTAAAATTCACTAGCTTTCAATTTTAAGCGTGTGATGAAATGACGGGAAAAAATGGTGGTGCCATCTGTTATAAAACTAATTAATTAATGAATATCGATAGAATATCGCTTATGAAAATCGATAGATCTCTAGTTGCGACAACACCAAATATTGTTTTTCGGTTAAATTCTTAAATTGAGTCATTTTACCTCTTTCGGGTAAATTCGAGTAAATCTCATTTAGAATATGAAAGTAATATTTTTTAATGTATGATTTTTTTAAATTATCTTTTTATTAATATGAGCGACATCTTTCTTTTAGGCTTTGCTTTCTATACTGTATTTGTGCTCCAGTGATATTTATGCTCTGATAAATTACGTTGGATTCGCTACATGGTTAGCAATTGGTCTGGCAGTAGCTTGTCTTCCTTATTTGAGGTGGAAACAACCTAATCTTCCTCGACCTATTAAGGTAAGTACCGCCTTAATTTTTAAACTAACTTTCACGAAATAATAAGTTACTAAAGCATATCTACAGTTCATTGTCCATTTTTGAGCAATGAAAAATTCGAGCAGTGAATGTAAATATCACTTTAGAAATCAAGATAATAGAAATATCCTAGAATGGTTTTTCAAATTTAGTTATGTTTTTCTGTTTTGCACCATGATTGAAAACTGTTGAGATTAAAGAAATAAGCTTTCAACTTTTGTCGTTCATTCGGCGAGGATTTATTAAACAGCATAAAAGAAGAATACTAAGCATTGAAATATTACAAAATATTGTATAATTGTAATGCCATAAGGCTCGTTACTAGTTTATAGACATACCCGGATGGTGAACTGTAGTGTAGGTTTTCTTTAATAGACTGCTTAATCAATAGCCATCCAAAGAAAAGTTGTCAGGATCACTTTAACTATAGCGAATGCGACTAACTGTTTTTGTCCCTCTGTGCAAATCCACTAGAGTTCTCTGAGAAGGAGTGGTATCCCTTCAACTTTACTCATGGAGGTAAGAAAGGAAGGGGTGGCCAGCTCGGCACTAAGAGTGAAGCTCTGCTCCGAAGCTTCGGTCTCCAGATGGTGTGTTTTTTGTTTACATTCAGAAGCTAACTTGGCAGCGCTTCGATAGTATTTCGACATACGACAGTTCCATACAAACCGAAAAACGGGACATTTCCGCATAAAAGAAATATTCATTGTGTGATGAATAGCAGCAATTTGTATAGTGACATTGTATATGACATTTACGCAAAATTCACATCTTGGTTATTTTACGATAACTAACAACAGCGATTTTGATTATAAATTTCTTTTATAAAATTCTAAGCTGTTGAACTAAAAAAATATAGATTTTAGCAAAAATGTTATTCTTAAAGAATGAAAAATGCCTTACGGTACCTTTAAAATTGTATACCTCTTTCGATAGCCTTGATAGAGTATTCGCTACTTTTATTTTATGTTCCAAACGCCAAAATGTTTTAAAAATTTTAAAAAAAAAAAAAATTATCATCCACATATTATTGTGATATGTACTTTTTAAAATTTTTTAGAGGAGAGGCTTTATAGTTGCTGATTTTTTAAACTTATCGTTTTAGTTTTATATAACTTAAAAATAATCACTTTGGGTTTACATGTTTTACTTATTCGGGTTAATTAAAAAATAAAATTATCACCAAACCCTCGTCAAAATTAATAAATATACACACAGATATGCCAATAAGTTAACTTTTCCTTGATTTGTAACCACACATTTGTGTAAAATTACGTACAGTTTTACACAAATGTATTGAACAGAAGACGGATACATTTGCAAATTCGGCGGAAGTACCATATGTGGTCAAGATGATGTGACCACGTGAACGTGCCACATCTTTAAGACAGCTTATTAAGAAATTACAAATAGGGTAATCGACGGAAGTTAAAACATTTGTGTATCCTGCCAAAGTAGGTCTGATCATGAATGGTCCTCTTATTGATTCCAGACTATTATTGAATTGTAAATATAAATTGAACTCCTGTTGGCAAATACGTTATAAAACTATTTAAGCAAGAATTGGTCGTACTGGAAAGCAATCTGTTAAAAGGTATTGTAAAGCAAATTCTATGAGATGCATACTTAAGAAAGTAATAAAGAAGAGTTTTAGAATATGTATTGTTGAAATCAAGGGTAAAAAAAATCAGATAAGTATAATTAAAATAATTATTCCCCTTACATTTTATAGCAACTCAGTTACAAGTTTTAAATAATATTAAAAAAATCCTTTTTTATTCCCTTTTAGAAATATTCAGAGAAAGTTAAGTGCTATTCAACGTATTTCGCTATTAAAATAAGAGGTGTTCTAATTTGAAATGGATCGAATAGAATATTAATTATAAATTGACTTAGATTTTTCGAATTAAAAGATGCCTCAGAAGCTAAAAAATCATGTCATATTTGAGAAAGTATTTTAGGAAGAAGCTCTATAAATAGAAAAGAAATAATGCATAATTTTAATGTTAGTAATACAATAAACTTTGATCTTAATTTTCGTAATCCTTAACCGAATAAAATCGAATTACCTTAAATTTTTTTTTTCTGGTGTATTTAAGAAAAACTTGTGAAAATATTTCATTCAAATTAAACCGTTCTGAGCAAACTGTTCTGTGAAAAGTATAGCATTTAATTCCGTTCAGAATGAAATGTTGTTTAAAAATGTATTCTTTTCATATATTTAGGACTCTGAAATATTGTAGAAAAAGAAAGTATATGAATTTATATGTACATTTACGACGTAATTACAAAATATTTACATCCGATCGTGTCAAAACCCATTGAACCTTAATGGTAAATGACCCAATGTTATGGTCACCACGAAGGGATCTCCAGTGCTTCAAAGCAGTGTATGGGGGAAACCGGTTAGGGCCACTCATCTTACTTCCTACCTCCATAATTCCATCTGTAAAATGTTTAATTATGTCTATTAATATAAATAATTGTCTTTTCACAAAGTGCATCTACAAAGTCTTAAGGTTGAATTCCTAAGACTTTCCATAGCCAATGGACCTGTTAAATAATAACTAAAAATAATAATCTCAATATTTTGTCTTCTTTAAAATACCATTTTCGTAAGAATAGGAGTTTAGATGACATTTTTTGTTCCTGAATTTATACAGGTGATATCTACTCTTAACTAGTCTAAATCTGAAACGCATTCAAGATTTTATTGAAATGGCAGACGGTAATTCGGAATTTTTTAGACAGATCATTACTAGTGACAAAAGTAATATTGATTGTAATCTAAAAGAAAGCCCAATGAAAATCCACCTTGACTAAACCCCATCTGGTAAAACCATACAGCTGGAGCATTTTCCTTTTTAATTATCAGGAAGTAATTCACGAGAAACTTTTGCTTGAAGGCGAAGACAGTCGACTGCATAATCTACAAAGAAATAATATAGCCGATTTCTGAGAATTCATTATAGGTGGCTAGAAAGTGTTGGACTGGTAACAGAATTTTGCTATCCGTTCGAGCAATCTTCAAGTTTTTGCCACAAGGTAAAATGCAACTTTTATTAATCAACCCTTTCCCGTCAAATTCGGCATTTTGTAGACGGATGCTTGTTGTCCCTAAGGTGATATCGTACGGCAAAAGGCACAGTTAACAGCATTTCAAAAAATCAGGAAAACATAACAAGATAATGAAAGAGCATTCCAATAATTTTCGTTCACGAAGGCATCCAAAAATTCTGTGAATGTACCAGAAGGTATACAACGTTAGAAGGAATATGTATAGTAGGGTACGCAATATTGATTTCGCTGATCTACCAGCGATTTATTATATGGATTTAATTCCAAACCTCTGTAGGCGTACAATATGTGGCCTAGGGAATGGTCTCAAGAAAAATTGTCGAAAATTTTAACTGAGAATAATTTGTTTTAAATTCTGCACGATGCTGGTTTTCTAATAATAAATAAATTTTCGTAATCATATGCTCTGAAGTGTGCAGTTCAAACATTAATATTTTTTTTTTGTTAAAACTCGTCTTTTTAAGAATGAATTGAACTGTTACTTTTGAAACTTTAATTAATAAGACGATAACAATCAAAGCGAAGTTTATTTGAGGTATGAAGTGTAAAATTAATGCAGATTTTAGGCATAAATTTATATATGCAAGGCACATGATCCTATTTCGTTGGATCCTGAATGGAAATCCGTACGTAAGTAACAGTATATAATATATATGTAACTATGACCAAACGGGAAAAGCCTGAATAATAGCAAGTGCATAAATGCCGCCAGAATTACATCTTAATCGTGCACAAAAATGTTTTTTGTACCAAAAATTCTGTGCATTTTAAAGGAACCAGAATCAGGTCTTTTTATTTCTTTCAAGAAACAAATATGTATTTTATGTATGGTGCTCACAAAACAGCATAGAGGACTGGTTTCTTCAACTATTGACATTTAATCTACACGTAGCTACTAAAACAATACAATGAAAGCACTAAAAGTTAATCTGTGAGTAAGACTACTCAAAAGGGCAATACATATATAATAAGAAAATATAACCTTCTTCTCTTATGATAACTATTCGAAATACATTATTACATCAGAATATGAAAATAATAATTACTTCAGGAATAGAAACAGTATGAAATAAATATTTGTTGTTTGTTTAGAAAATTTTGTGAATTTAAATCTAACTTTATTATTTATTGATTATTGCAGGTTAACTTGATATTCCCAGCAATTTATATTGTAGCTTCAGTTTTTATCACCGTTGTTCCAATGATGGCTGATCCTGTCGGCACAGGTTTGTGATACTGAATTTCATTATGCATTTCTAATATATTCTTATATTGATCATATTTTTCATAGTGCGGCTTTATTGAATCAGTAACCGAGTAATTACAATATGAAATAATATACTTTTAAGTAATTTGGTTGTAGCTAGACTGTATGGAACATTTGCAAGGAAAGGGCTTTATTTTTTAATCAGTAATACTTATTTGATTATTAATATCAAGCGATATTTTTGTGTTCCTGGAAGTATTAAAATATTTTGTTTCAGGATTTGGAGCTCTTATAATTGCAACCGGTGTTCCAGTGTATTTTCTCTTTGTTTATTGGGAAAACAAGCCGAAAGCCATCAGAAAAGGAATTGGTAAGTGTGAGAAGATACTCAGCAATTTCTCAAAACCAGTTTAAACATTCGTTTAATATTACAGTATTTTAAAAATAATATGTATTCACTGTTAGTTAGTTACAGTATTTTTGTAAATAATATGTATTCACTGTTAGTTAGTTACAGTATTTTTGTAAATAATATGTATTCACTGTTAGTTAGTTACAGTATTTTTGTAAATAATATGTATTCGCTGTTATCATCTTATCAAGGTTAATTTAGCTATGTAGATATATAACTATTTAAGTCTGAAAATTGAATTTTTAATATCTCCTAAACTCGAGACGCATGCAGTTATATTCAGCTTATGTATGAAAATTCGTTATCTACTAAGATGGATTTGATATATTATTTTAATAGGTCATTTACAAATGCTGTTAATTAAAGAATCTGCACTTAAAACTTCATATCGTGAAGTTAATAAATGTGCATTGCTGCGTTTGCAAATATTCATGCTTGTGCTTTTTAAAGTATACGCTTTAGTATTTTTACGTCCTGATAAAAACCTTTCATAACAATAATACAAATGTCGAGAAATTTAAATTCTTGAGATCATTTGAAGTAGCATCAATAAATTAGAATTTTGATAATTCATTTATGAAGAACTTTTTATTATTCATCTAGAAATATTAATTATAATTTAGTATTATAGGTGAAATGTAACATTTTTGGCTGTGTATTTTACCTATTATGATTTAAAACCCATTGGGGAAGGGGGTCGGAGAGTTTCTCATCCCTCTTTTTCTGCCACCAATCCACAGGAGAGGACTTTAGGCTCACCATATATTTAAAGTGCCCCATTGCCGCAAAGACACTATACATTTGCAAACATCCATGTCTTCTCCGAGATTCGAATCCTGCCCTTCCGTAACGGTAGTCAGTCACTACCCACTATCCCGTTTGGGCTGCACTAAAATTCTTCAACTCTCATGAGACAGATAAGCCATTTATCTCCCCATCTATAAAATAACAACTGGGTCCTGAGAAGGTTTAAACAAACTTTTTTATTAAAAACTTTAAACTGAACATACATTCGACTTGTGCTTACAGATTAAAACTCTGCTGCTTACGGGATATCAGTAACAGAAAATTTAACTTCAAGTTTAAATTAACTATATAGTACGGACTACGATTCAGACAACTAAACCAAACATCGGGTCAATTTATTAAGTGTATGATTTACTTATAGTAAAATGGCTAATGCCACATCACTAATGTAGCAGAGCTGGTTGAAACTTTTAGTAACCCGAATTAAACAGTCTCAACTCATGGTAGTAAAGTTACAAATAATAAGAAAATGGGTTAAGAAACTGAAAATAATACTTTACAGTTTTACTGAGAGTTTTGTAAAAAGATCTATCTCGGGGAAATCTATATGACTTTGCATTTCCGGTAATATTTGGCTTTATCTTTGTCATATATAGAAGTCAATATACTTCCTTTTCAAGCACTAAGATTCATTAGTATTTACAGCAAAATCATTTAATGAAGATACTAGTTTTTGCAAAGCATTTTAATCTATCTGATCTTCAAGAATGAGAGAGCAACATAGTTTAATGCCGTGAGAACTGCTTTATTTAAATTATTTTTCAAAGGCATCTATTTTGGAGTTAATTGATATTATAATGTATTAGATAATTTTTTGCATTATTATTAAAGTTTAGGGGGAAACTAATAGTTAAATAACTGCGTGTCGCTTAGCAGAATAATCGCTTAATGACATATCTATAATCTGAATTAGATGGAAATTACCTGTAATTTTATTTAGCTTCTTTTTTACTTAGTGCAGTGATACATTGAGATAAAGGAGTTTATTCTATCTTTATAGATTTTTCATGTCCTAGCTTTTTTTTCGTTTACATAAATAGTTATTTTTGATCAATATACTTCTTATTGTTTTAATTTTTGTCTTTTCATTGCCCTTAATTAAGCTTTCTTATTTTATTTACAGATTCTGTGACGTTTACTTTACAAAAATTATTGGTTGTTGTACCATCAGAAAAAAGTTCATAATCAAGCACAACTACATTCATGTTCCTCGTTATTATTTGTGTTTGCCACAAAACATGTGAAATGTTATGTGCTGTACAAAATTTTCTCTTGGAAAATGAATTATTCTAGAACTGTGAGAAACTCTTACAATTTCATTTGGTTAATGGCTATGCAGAACAATAAACTTTGAAATTCATTCTTTATAATATTTTATAGCATATATATATATGTTACCGTGAAAGACCGAAATTGGAGAATGTCGACTTTCACCGGAGAATGTCAACATTCACCAAATACGTCGGTGAAATATCGAATATTGCACTACATTCTTGTACATTCGGACCCTCACCGGTGTATGTCGACAATCACAGATATGCTCTGGTGAAAGTCGAAAAGAGAGGTCATAAAGGGCCATAATAGTTTAAGTTGTTGCAATAAATAAGATTTGAATCACATAATTTAGTAAGTTTTTTATTACTGTTATTTTATTTTCTCATTTAGAACGTACTGTATAATTAAGTAAGTTTTTAACTTCTATTATTTTCCTTTCTCATTTTGAATGTATTGTGTGTTTTAGGTTCTCATGTTCTTAAGTTCTTATTTCAAGTCTCAAGTGCGTTTATTCGCGACTGAATTACGGAGAAGAAAATATAATATTGTTATATGCTCAACATTCACCATTAGTATATGGTGAATGTTAAACATATAACAATATTTTATTTTCTTCACCGTAATTCAGTCACGAATAAACGCACTTGAAACTGGAAATAAGAACTTAAGAACATGAGAACCTAAAACACACAATACATTCAAAATGAGAAAGAAAAATAATAGAAGTTAAAAACTTACTTAATTATACAGTACGTTCTAAATGAGAAAATAAAATAACAGTAATAAAAAACTTACTAAATTATGTGATTCAAATCTTATTTATTGCAACAACTTAAACTATTATGGCACTTTATGACCTCTCTTTTCGACTTTCACCAGAGCATATCTGTGATTGTCGACATACACCGGTGAGGGTCCGAATGTACAAGAATGTAGTGAAATATTCGGTCTTTCACCGACTTATTTGGTGAATGTTGATGTTCTCCGGTGAAAGTCGACATTCTCCAATTTCGGTCTTTCTCGATAACATATAGTATATAAATATACTGTATGTATTGTTATCTTTCATTAACATTTACAGCATATTGAATCATCAGTTTAATTTCAATAAATGTATATTCATTGGCAGCTTATTTAAAATTAATATTCAGAGTCATTTCCCTCTTAATGAATGATTTATTATTAAACAGTGCTGCCCGCAAGTTTTCAAATCTGTATTTATTTGTTATTCTGATATATTTTGGGATGGCATTCTGTAAGTAGTTTAGAAATGCAAGCATAATTTCTGCTAAAAATATTTAAATTCGGTTGCTAAATCGTGTTTAAATCTGTGGACCATATGTGCATTATTTGTATATATGATGTACAATATATTTTTAATTTTTGAAACTGTTCAGGGTATCTAGAGGAGTTATTTGTTTAAATTCAGAGCAAAAGTATAAAGGTAAATTTTAATGATATAAGCTAAACCAGAAATAACTCTTTGAATGTAAATCTGTTTTAACTGAAATTTGGGATTTTTTTGTTAATTATTATTATTTATATTTATTTTTTTTATGGGCTATGCTTTGATTTTTTGATTTTCTTGTATTTTAAAATTAACTTGTTCTTATTTACATGCGTGTGTGGAGGGTATGAATCTTATATTCCGTTTATAATGATTGGAAATAAATTAAATGTAATGAACTAATTCATAAATTTAGAGATCATCCAGCTGTAAACACAGTTTTAATTGTGTAACGAAAATAATTCCAGAAATTTATAAAAAGGCATATAGTTATATTTTGTAAAATGTTTGTTAGTTACTGGAATAAACTCTCCATCAAATTTTGATTTAATACACCATTACTAATAAAATATGACCTAAATATTATTATAAATATATAAATGCCATGCATGAATAAATGGCAGATGGTGAATACGTTTTTTTGCTAGCGTGTGTGTGTTATTTAAAAAAAAAAAGACTGATTACTTATCTTGAGAGTCTTATATACTGGCACCATGATTGCTCACTTTTTCTTAAGAGTTTTTAACTCTGCTGACTGTTTTTCATGTTATTGTACATGGCTCTTTATTTAAATATTTCATATCGTAGAATTTTCAGATGAACTTGCATGTGCTGGAGAAAAAAGGAAAAAATCTTTTTCATTTCGCTAGAGCTCCACTGCCTATTTGTATATGAACTTTAAATTAACTTATATGTGGCTCATCTCTTGCTATCTTTACAAAAATATCTTCAGAGTATTTTTGTAAATTAAATCTTGAAATTATTATTACCTTTGTAATTTTTTTTAAGATTAAACATTTCAAAATAAAACTGTTGCTCTAAATGTCGTGGACTTATTTATTAATTATATGGTGTAAATAATAATAAATTAAATTAAGTGAAAAATTCTCGTTAAATCTTACGGATCTTTATCATTGATGTATGAGTAAATCATAAGCAACATCGTGGAGCAAATTAGCTGAAGCACAGAAATTTATTTTCAGCCCCACAAAAGTAAGATAAATTAAAATGAAATAACTAGAATGTGTACCTATATCTGTATAAAGTACTAACTTACGAAAAGCAGTAAGTAAGCAAACCGAGCTAAAACTTTATTCTTTATACCAAGTTTCAGCAACCTTTTTAAATGCTGAAATAATGCTTCAATCTGACAGCCCACGCCCGCCGTATTTTTATGTGCAGCAACCATTAAAATTTTAATATTGAATTAATATTTTTCAATAAATTAATAGTTATTATAATATTTTGATTGTTCAGTACTTTAATGCGAAAAGGAACAAATATATAAATAATGTTTTCCAGTATTTAAGATCCAAAAACATGGTTTCGAAATTTTATTCATAAAGTCCAGTGTTATTGAAAATTTACTAGTTTAAACCAAAAAATATTTAAATAACTCAAAATACTTTAATAAATTGTAACTGTACAATATCAGATATATTTCTAGTCCATACGAGTTTTTAATGAATATAGCTTAGCCTGTTTGTGGACTCAAAACAGCGTTCATGTGAGAAAATTGCTCCCAAAAGTACATAACAGAACAAATGCAAACCTGTCTTAAACACTTGAACGCTTCAGGCTCAGGTGCCTAACAATTGAAGATAGCATCTGACATGTCAAAGAAGTTTGCTTCAGATTTAGAAATTTAAAAGTTTAGTATTTTTACTGAGATCATAACTAATAAATTTCACACACTCAGTGTTCCACCGAATATAGTTTGTTCATTGTATCGTAGGTTGTGATAGTATTAAAATTTGTTTCACCTGTTCCCGTAAACGTTTTTCATGAACGACAAAAATTATTTTTCTAATTATTGCAGACTCTTTTCAATAAATTAAGGTCAAAAGAGAACAACATAAGCTTCACAAATTTATTCAAGGAATAAAATAATTAACAATAGCTTTCAAATTTGTTATTTTTAATGAGGCTTTTGACACGAGTATTATTTGAATATCCTTTTTTATAGAAACATATAACAGAAAAACATAGTAAGAAGCTGTTAAAATTTGCTGTGTGAGAGAAAGCTATCCATTAAAAAAATTCCTTTCATTTTCTCAGTTTATTAAACTACATTTCACTTATTCTTGCACCAAGCCTTTGTAATAGTTGTATTTAATTCGAGTGTATCGCTGATGGAAATAACAATCACAAGTGTAATCTACTATATTGCATTAAAAATCAAAGTTAATCTTTTTCTTATTTTTCCTTATTAAAAATGATTTTTAAATCATAAAATAACAATCAAACGGTTTTATAACAATTAGAATTATTTTTGCAATTTTACTTTTTAATGAAGGTTTAAATTACTCAAGAAAGTTTTGAATTGTTAAAAATTTTATTATGAACAAAGTACATGCTTCTGAAAATTACTTTTGCGTACCTTCAATGTAATGGCTTACACATGCTTACTCTCTCTAAAATAAAAAAAATTATTAAAAAAAGTTGCAGCAATTGTCTCGCTTAAGGAAAATATTTTTCTTATCTGCCTAGAAGGTTTAACAGGTACTACCTCAAGCACTGTTTAATAATTGTAGCAAGTATACACATAATGGAAGACCGCTAGTGGTCAAGTCGCCAAGACCACGGTCTTCTAATACACTTCTGCTCCACACAGGACCTGTGGTGACACAAAGGAACGATTAAATTTAGAGAGCAATACAAGAACATTTAATGCCAAAAATCAATATTTAGTAAAGCTGCTATGCACACTACAGCTTATTAGCTCAAGTTAGAGCTTAAGAGCTCATACTGTTCATGCCATTGAATCAAACAGGTTTTGAAAGTATACTCGAGGAATAGCATTCCATATTCTTTCTAGCCGAGTCCAAAGTTGTTCTGTTTGGACTTCGGGAAAACTGTCACGAGTGCGTTCCGGCCTGTGAAATCCCAGACATGTTCAATAAGCAATATGTCTGTCAAATAGGCAGGCTAAGGAAGAATCGGTATCTGATATGCTTAGTAGATCACTGGAACAATTGTAGCAACATCTGAACAGCGCTGTCTTATTGAAAACCACTTACATGAACGCATTGAATTTAACGCGTGATTTCAGGTTCTACAACCTTCCTAGTGTAGCAGTTGTCAGTTAGAATACCTTCAGTTCGTATCGCCTATCATACATAGCGGCACTCCAAGCCATCGAGCTTGGATGTATGGCATTGGATAATACTCGTACATTCCAGAAGATGGCGTTCACCCCTATAACGTTACTCGATCATCGTTGTATTTCAAACGGAATCGGAAATTTTTTAGGAAAGCCGATGTGTCGCCAGTCGGGACACCCATATCTGTGTTGACGACCTCATTGTAGTCAACGATTTTCGTCAAGGGAGTCCTGCATAAAAGATTGCATGCTCAGAATCCAAGGTGCAGCAGACGCCGGCGAACTGCTGAAGCCGCTAAAATGACACACGTATAGCAGTGCTCCAAAAGTTGTGAAAGCTACACGGTTCGTTATTGACACGAGGATGAGCTGGCTATCATCCCGTGCTGATGTAGCATTTCATGGTCCACTATCAA